TCCACCAAGTGCACCCAGGTCCTCGAGCAAAAGCAATCCCACGGATGGGTTTGCCTCTGCCCGAGGCAGGAATAACCCAGACTCTCTTCCCCAGCATGTTAAACAAACAGCAGCAGCTTTCTGAAACCAGCTGAACACTGGGCTTCTGAGGTGGCTTCCTGGATGTTTCAGCCTGCAGAAGCTCAGATCAACCTTCACCAGCCACCCTGACAATTTGTTTCTTGCTGACATCCTTTTGAGCTAGAAGGGCTTATGTTTAAACAGAAAACAGTGAAGAATGTATTGAAAATACCAGAAATCGAATTAAAATTTTCTAATTTGGGGGTAAAATTAAGATACTGTCTGGGAATTATCACATCCTATTAATAAGACCACTGAAGCATTTGCGGTTCACTGTATTTAAAGTTCACCTCGGCAGAGAGGGGTTGAGACCTCTGGGTTGGTGCTACTGTAAAGATCAGACTTAGAGAGGAGTAATCCTTAGCAGGAGCTAAAATAGTTCAGACCCTCCTGGCACCGAGGTCTCCAGGAAGGGAAGGGCGCACGCCCGAGTTGCACGCTTTGGGCAGTAAGTCCTCCAATAGATTCCTAAACCTGACAAGAAGTTTAGTCAACTCCCAGCTTGGCTCCAAATCTTCCGGCTCCAAAACTGAGACTCCTGGTATAGCACGCAGCGGCGATGCACCATTTTATGGATCAGCTTAACACCGTAACTGTGTAGCCCTGTGATACGGCATCGTCATTGGCAGTAACAGGCCACCAGCTTTGTACGGAGTATGAGAGGCCTCAAGACTGAGGCTTGCCCTCTCTGAGCTCCTCCTGACCTGCCTTGCAGCTTTTCTTTTTTTAACTTGGTGGCTTTATAGATAAGGTGCCTTTGCCCATTGACATGATTTTGAGCATAACAACACCCAGCTTCTTCCCACAGACGGGCGGCGATGCACCATTTTATGGATCAGCTTAACACCGTAACTGTGTAGCCCTGTGATACGGCATCGTCATTGGCAGTAACAGGCCACCAGCTTTGTACGGAGTATGAGAGGCCTCAAGACTGAGGCTTGCCCTCTCTGAGCTCCTCCTGACCTGCCTTGCAGCTTTTCTTTTTTTAACTTGGTGGCTTTATAGATAAGGTGCATTTGCCCATTGACATGATTTTGAGCATAACAACACCCCAGCTTCTTCCCACAGACGGGCCTCAATATGCACCTACGTTTTGTAGAACCTCCAAAACGCCAAGGCAAGGTGATCACCCGCTTAAGAGTATTTCTGCTTGGTTTCTTCGCCACATGAACATACAGTACTTGGATAAGTCTCTCGAATCCTAAACCTCCAGTCTCCTGTCTGTAAATAGGTACTGAGGATAACAGTTAGGTCATGTCTGTGACAGGCTCTGAGCACTGAAGCTCTCTGTGATTCCAGCGTGACTACAGCGTAAGAGGACAAACACCAACCCCACAGAGGCAGCCGGGCTGCCTTCCGCTCACTCCTTCACCGGGTCAGCATAAGCCAACACCACGGCTGAACGAGGCTGTCCCACCGCCTGCTGCTGAGACCTTTATTCCCAGCTCTGTGTTCCTGCTCCTCTCCTGCCAGCAGAAGCATACATACAGCTGCTCTGCGAGTCAAGCCTTAATCTGCTTTACTAACGCAAGTTCCCAAGGAAAGGGAGCAGCACAGGTTGGCAGGATGATTTCCTTCAGTGGCCATGCCAGCCCAGGGTCTACTTTAAGACAGGATGAAAAGTATAGTTTTTACTTAACATTTTTGGACAGCCGATACCCTCAGGACTCCAGCCTCCCTGTAATTCTAAGAAGCATGCTTCCAGCTACAGCTTTATTAAGTAGAACTTAATAAAGACATTCTGCTGCAGGACAAGAGGCTATCCTTGCTCCAGGTTTTCTTAGACTAAGTGGTAGCAAATGAAATACAGTAAACTGTGTCGTCTCCTCCCCTTCACATGTCCATTTCAAAGCAGTTGAGCATGTCAAAGCAGTTAGCCCCCTCTCCTGCAGCAGGCTGCAGCCAGCATCACTGCTTGCGAACTGCCACCCTCCTACCATCTGGATTTCTATCTTATACAGTAATGTTTTCCATAACGTATTATTTTATATATTGCTGCCTAGTTATCTTGTTAGCATGCTAACAGACCAGAGATGGGGGGGCTCTCCAAATGTTTTGCTAGCGAACGATACAATCTGCTTCCTTTCTCAGGCTGCCTTTAAAGGGAAGGTACAAGATACAAATTCATGCTGAGAAGACCACTCCGAGGAGGATTTTCATTATTATGCCATAGAACACATTTTGAGATCTACAACAGGACATGATCTTGCCACAGAATGTGCTGAAAAACATTGAGGGGGAGGAATGGGAGAAGAGAGGGGAAAAAAAAAACCCAAACAGACAAGAGAAACAACACTCCGCTCCCTGAAGTCTCATTTCTCACTCCTAGCACACACGTTTCATGAGGAAGGAGGCTGAGAAAGTTGTCAAACCTTACTGCGAAGGGACAAGGAAGGAACAAACGTACTTGTGAAATGAGGAGCTGGCAAGCTGCAAGCTCCCTCTCGCTGGCGTTCATCTTCCTGTTGGAGTCTATCTGGGCGCTCTCCAACTGCTTGCTGCGGTTCACCAGAGACTTCACCTCAGACTTCATCTTGCTGATGTAAAGCCGTGCCATGGTGAACTCCTCCTCAATCACCCCGTTCACATCTGCTAACTAAACACACAGAAGATTGCAATCTTGAAGGTGTGGTTCTTACAGGTAAGCCAATGCAAAGCAGTCTTCCTGCTGTGAAACTCTTGTCTAGAGCTAGGAAGCCTCTGTGAAAGCACAGCAGCCCTCAAGGAGTACCCACAGACCTTCAGGTCACCTTTAAACGTGTTATACCACTCTATTTCTTACAGTCTTCACTGATAAGCCTCAAAAGTGAGAAATGAAGGCTTGCGCTCACAGTGTGCTTCATCAATTTAGCGGTTTAACATCTACAGTAATCAAGCCCGCCATCATGGCAAGAGCATATCTCGGAGAAACCTTCTCACGTCACCAGCACAGGAAATTTTCCTTCTTTCAAACTGCTAAAAGCTGAAGAGCATTTTCAAAGTACTCCTTAAAGAAGTCTCCTCTTGAAGGGTTGTGCTTCTTCAGTAAGGAGCTGTAAGACAGACATGGGTCTGGAAATCTCACCTGGCAAGAGAAAAGTAATCGCCCTCGTCTCTAAATATTAGTATCATTCTATTTATACATCATTTCCTTCCCTGGTTTAACGTGGTGACTTTTATTTGTGTGTCTTTCTTTTCATGATTTTTCTTCAACTACTTAATTCATGTAACCCACTGACGAGCGGTGAAGGTTCTCCTTCAGCGAGCGTATGGCTAGCAACTTCATCTGCTTTTCGCCTTTGTCCCAGCGCTGCCAAGGGGAAGGTAACATGCGCTGTACCTTCTCCCAACAGCCTAAAAAACACGACTGCTTCCAAAACTCTCAGTCTGGTCTGAAATTAAACACACTTTGAGAAGATGCTAATTGCCAATAAATTTGAAATTATTCTTCTAAAAGCTTCTCGATCTTGCCTTATTTACACTGACAGCTGTCCTGTAAAATGCTGACATCTTAGTTACTATAAAAATTTGTATCAAACAGCCTCTGCCTCCATTTTCGAAGATTTCCTCTTATAGTTCCTGTTACAACGGCCACCAGAGGTTGCTGTAACATCTAGCAAAGTCTGGTCTTGCGGTCCTGGCATCTGCATAACCACATCAGACAACAGGGATCATGCCCTCTGCAGTAAGAGCAGGCTGGAGCATCTGTTGATCTAAGGGGGCTTTAGCAGGATATCAGCAACTCTCAGAGAGTCAACTCAAAGCACTCCAGCCACACATACTCACTTTTAGCTTTGAATGTTCAGGAAAGTTCATTGCTCAGAAACCGAGAAGTGAACAAAAAGCAAGAAAATGGAGTGCACTGCAAGGAATTTACATCTTGAAAATTAATTTCTTATCCAGTTTTAGCAATTGCTCTTTTTCATCTGGTTTTAAATGGATAGGTAAGATGACATTAACATCACCAGAAAGATTTTCCAGGCCATGAAAAGTTTCCATCAGAGATGTGCCATTTAGCAATGACCATACAAATATCTTCTCTGAGACTTAGCATTTTGCTCATCTGCAACAGGAGAAGTGTGACAAAATGAGTAGCTACCTCCTCTACCGTATCTGTAAACCCAAGAGCCAGACAGAAGGCAAATTTCAAAGCAAAGCTGGCCAAAATCTGCACCATCTCCAGGCACGTTCAGATACCAAGGTTTCTGCCGCTTCAGCCACCTTCACTCCCATTCTTACCTTCTTACTTCAGAGCAAAATGATCCTCTGCAATTTTTCCTCTATAAAGGTCATTAGTCAATACACAAGAGTTAAGCTGGTCTTACTGTCGTGTAATTTTATTAATGTGGTATCTAGCACAAATTTACCAGTGCTGGCAATCAGTAATTTTAAAGCATCTTGTGTTCAGAAACACACAAGAGCACGGGCTCTTTGATGAAGCCAGCCACTGTTGAAAGGTAATAAACACCCGAATGCAGAAAACAATTTCCATGCAGGTCTTTTCATTTGGCTGCCCTGGAGAGCTGTCAGTACAGACCTCTGGCTTTGAGAACTGTTCACCTTCAGCTACACAACAGTTTTAGGACAAACTTCCAACAAAAAGGTAGCCAGAAGCCAAATCTCACCAGCAAAGAGTCTTCAGATTCTGGGAGTACAGGGTCATGCAAGCTAACGAAGGAGTAGTGCTACGCGTGTATTGTCTGGGGCGGAACTCAGTCCCCCGCATTAATAAATGCATCAACGCACAGATGGGCTGCATTAGTCTGGCCCCAAACACTGAGCTGGGAATAAAAGTGGTAATTGTGTGGACAGAGGCTGACCATCTCTGACCCAGACAAAGATCTCTTCAGTATTTTAAATCCTGGCTAGAGCACAGAGCAAACGGCAGTGTCCTGGAGAAGGACTGCTGTATCACATATATTCCACGTCAAGTATTTTTATATTGCAGGAGGTGTGGGGGGCAAGCAATAAAGATAGCCAACTTACTGTTTTAACATCGTTAGTACCAATGATTCCCCCAATCTCTCCCAGGTCCTTAAGCAGCAAGTTCAAGATTTCTGTAGCTCTCTTCTTCTGATGGTTACTGAGCTCCTGCAACTGGCCCAGCTCCCTCTGGGTTGCTGTCAGGGCACTCTGAAAAGGTTTAAAAGCAAAAGTTACCCTCCCCTCCGCAGACCGGGCATCAGTTCTTCTCTGATATCTAGGTTACACGGTATTGTCTTGTATTTTCCTGAACACGCCTACTGGATCAACGTACTGACGCTAACAATTCCACCTTGCCATAATCTACTTTCACAACTCACTTGCTAACAAGGCTACTTTAGCTCTATTAAATGTAGTAAATCCTGTAAGAATCTTATTTGCATAATACATGTCAAAGAAGGTTAATCACAGAGAAACAGGTATAGAAGGATATAAAACTCAATTTTTTTTTCAAATGGATTTCATAGTAATCTGTTTCACTGAAGCGGATAACGAAGTCTTCCATGAAAACAGACCCATTAATAACAGCTTCCTCCGTTGTGTAATGAATTAAGGAACAAGGATGTATCAAGCTAGTAAGCCAATCTCGATTTTTCTCAGATCAGATTTTTTTCCTTAAGATCAGTACACATCAGCTGAAAAAGCTGAATTTTTTCCGATTCCTTCCTTGAGATCTCCTGACTCTGTACAAAATTCCTGCTCCGCAGCGCAGAGTCCAGAAAAACACAAAATGCTGCAATTTGCATAAAGCAGATTTTCACATCTTTCTTGGCATAATAGAGCTTTTAAATAGCCAAAACACAGAATGGCCAGTTCTCACATTCAGTTCAGTTGCCGCTACGGTGTGCAAAATACAGAGGTTGCAACAGAGCCACAATCTGCCATCAGCTTCCATAGAGCCGCTTCTGAATTACCTTATCGTTTAATTAAGATAGAAGAGAGAGGGTAGCATCGGCAAATAGGGATCTTTTAACAGCTTCCCTGCTACTCCAATTTTTAACCTACATAACAACACACTCGGCAGCAGCATCTGAAAGATTCCCGAAATGGCATAGGCTAGCAGTTATCTGGGAACCCCGATGGAAATCTTCAGAGGAGGTGCAGAGCTAGGGGGCAAGGAGGGAACCAGCACTATAAACCGCTCGCTCTTACACTCTTCTGTGCCAGCTCATCAGCCAGCTGCTCGTTGGCTCTTGTTTTGTCCTCCACTTCTTGGGATTTCTGGTCATAGTTGACAGCTAATTCTTCCAGGGCTTGAAGGACCTCTTTTACTTCATCTTTCGCTGCTTCGTTCTCAATCTGAAGACGGGTCAGCTCCTCTTGAATCTTCTCATAATCTCTCCTAGTGGAGGCCAAAAGCTGGAAACCAGATATCACAGAAGCGTTGAGTCACCCAAGAACTCATTCAAAGACAACATTGAAAAGGGCAAGAACAGACAAAGAGAGAAAGAAAGCGTGAGCATGCAAGTGTGCGTGCGAGAGAGAGAAAGCAGGAGAGAAGAAATCCTGCTACTCTACCAGAAACAGCATCAGTTTCAGCATAAATGTATTTGAAGGAAGCAAAAAAGGCTCTGAACTTCAATGAAAAGAAAAATCTTAATCAAATCCTATTATGACGCAAGGCTGAGGCAGAGAAACTTATTTTAAACAGTATCATAGCTCCCAATAAATTTTCTGCCCTCAATCTAATGCTGCAGCTAGGACCAAAAAAATACTACAAAGTAAAATGTTTAAACGCAGAGTCACAGCTTTCAACTGAACCAAGTAAAAGGGCTCTCTGAGGCAGCCTCAAAGATCTTGTGGCATTAGAGGAATATTTTGATACGCAATCCTATGATGATTATTCTTAGTTATCATCTGAAGCATGATGCTGAAGACAGATTAGCTGCTCATATTTGCTGAGGCGAAGTATTAACTAAAGAAGAAAATACAGACTTCACACATACTTGTGAGTATTTCCAATTTGTAAAACTTATTAAATTTACTCTTTGCGTGCTACTAATAGAGATGCTGCAGTTTCAGTGACAGTGGTGACTGTAAGAGGTCGGTTGCACGGTCCTCTCCCTTGCACCACTCCATCTTCATCCAGATATTAAAATCTCGAAAATTCAGCTGTCGGGTTCTTAGCACAAAACCAGACTCAACAGCAGTCATATACTGCAGAATGATGTAAAAATAAATAAAAGGTGCCACCTAACATTTATAGCTAATATTGTACTTTTAAGAATAACAACAAAATAGGGACTTAACATTGCATAAAAACATAAAATGTAGAACAATAACATGTAAAGCTAGTGCATGAGATCCAAGGCGGCATTCATGCTCATCCTAACAGCAAAGTTTGGACATTCATTCACAGAACTCACTTATTTCCAAGCCTTCCTATGCATGGATTAGAATAACATTACTGTACTGCAGCTTTCTTGGACAGTAGAACAAAATCTGCGCTACTGGAGTGTGCTGGGCGGACTGCTCCTGACCTGTCCCACCACTGCCCACTGGCTCCCAGGCCATGAAGAAGTTGAGCGTGAGACCCCAAGCAGAACAGAAACCACTCTCTAAAACGGACCACCTAAAAGGAGAATGTCAGAGAAGACATTGCTTTTTTTGGCTCAGAGTGCTAATGGAAAATAGGAAACCAACCAGGCAGCTTCAGACACTGGCACGTGCCCAAAGTGGCAAAGAGAGGATTCAGATGTAAGGGAAATTTATCTCGCTGGTAATGCTGCAGCCTCAGAAGTGCACTCACGTTACGGAAAAAACTCACTGAATTGCCAAAGCCAGATGGCATGTAAATATTTAAACAACAAAATAGCTTAAAATAATCTTTTTACTAAACACAGATGGAACTATTATTTACATTTACTTAAGAAAATTTCTGTGTGAATATTACTGTGACTTCAAGTAAAGGGAAGTGTTATGTATCACCTAAAGCATAAACACAGCTCCCCAGAAGATTCTTGTTAATATAATGTGGAAAAATATACCAAGATTTTAAAAGGCTATTAATGCCACATTATACCGATCAGTTGTAAACAAAGGGAAGGAGACGATGGCTGCAGCACTTTGCGGATCTGTTCGCAGCACGCGAGATGCAAGGGTGGAAGATTCAGAATCCCCCCCAAAACACACACCCTAAGAAACAGCCAGTGGTGAAAAGGTACCAAAAGATACCAGTATCAGCACACCGCCATCTGTGGCAGGCCTTAGATTTATAATTAACCTGCTAGCTTAATCAAGCAGAAAAAAGTACTCTGGTTAATTAGGGGGAAGCAGAGTGAGGCAGCTGCTCTGCAGCACGTATATCATGGAGCTAATCACAGCTCTAAGGGAGAACAGGTACATCGCTCCCGCAGCGCAGGTGAAGCTTACGTGCGGAAGACAAAAACCTTGAAAAATTAATTCAATTCCCTTAAAGAAGAAAACAAAAATATCGCATTAGCTTTCACAGGCAAGAGATGGACAAGCTTATCAGATGAACCAGCTAAACCTTCTGAACAAGCGGTGCAACACCAGCTGCAGAGATTTCAGTAAGTCAGCAAAGCTAGACTAGAACATGTGCAAAAAAGGGGGAAAAGTGGCCTGTAAGGCAAGGATTAGAGGCCACTGAAAACTTGATTCATCTTTCAGATGTAATATTGTGTATGGAACACAAAGAGGGTGGGGAATAAGCCAGCGCACAGCATGCTTCCAAATATCTAACACAAAGAAAAGAATGCACATCACCCACAAAATAAGACACAAGAAAAAACGTCACGGAAAAATAAGCTTTAGATGAGAACGCTGATGTACAAAAGATGGGAGAAGTGAGATGGCCTAAACAATGCACATCATAAAAATATGTTGCTGAGAACACATAAAATTCTTTTACATTAGCATACCCACAGACACGGGTAGCGTGTAATCCAGGGTAATTAAAGAAAGTTGCAGCAAGTGAATGAAGAGCTTAATCGTGGAGTAAAATAAAGCTGGTAATTCCTTCAATGAGGATAAGGCCCCAAAGGTGGCAGGTAAGTCATGAGTGACGAGTAACAGACATTTTCATATGTTGTTCTCTCTCTGTTAAAGAGCTAAACCTCGGAAACCCTTTCCGGGGGCTTGGATAAGGCTTGAGACATGGACAGAATCATTTTTCAATTACAAGAGAGGTTTCACACCCAAAAAAAGCAGCCAGCATAATGCTGTACTCCAACTGAAGTGCCTCGGGCAGCTGGGAGAGGCATGCTCCTAGGGGATGACGGCAGTGTTTCATGCAAAGAGAGACCAATGTTTTGGAACACGAATGACGGGTGAACTCCCACACCAGGATTATATTGTTCGTCTGAATGGTCCTCCTCCAGTTTCCCACAGTTTGAAAAACAGCATAAAACCACCTTCTAAGAAATATCACAGCAACACTCGGGGAACTTGGTAACTTGGTGTTATTGCCAGATTTCACATCTTTAAAACCTTTCACTAACAAATAAGGAAATGACCTGACTGTAAGTTTAGTGATCATATTCCCCATCTTAAAAACAACAAACATTCATTTTACAGACAGAAACAATGAAATAAAATCTTTAAAGTGAGTCATCCAAGCTTTTAAAGCAAATCTGTGGCAGCACCAATAACCAATTTTTCAGTCTCTATGAACATCAGTAATTTATCACCAGGAGTAATTTTTATACTGTCAAACTAGGAAATGTGTTAACTACCTACAGTCCACGGTGTCCGGATACCTGAAAGGATACAGACATAATGAAAAACCCATTTGAAGTGAAAAGTACTGGCCCCGCTCCTATCTTGGTATCTTCCAGCATCACCTCCCAGCAGGATGGTGTGCTATTATGAGTTACCAAGACTTAATGCTCTGCTGAGGATATTTTGAAATTTGAAGTTTAAACCTAGCCGCCACACAGGTTTCTCTTACCTGTTGAATTTTAGCCAGTTAATATAAACATATCTAGCCAACAACTGTGACAGAATCACTAAAGAAGGGTCCCATAAGCAAAATGTAAGGGGTTTTTGGTTTGGTTTGTTTTTTACCTCCTCTTGATCCAACATCTGTTGCTTTAGTTTTTCAGCCAACTGGCTCTGCTGGTTGATTTCATCATCCTGCAAGGAAAAAGGGTTGGAGATTTTTATTTTCTTTTCACAGTTCTTATTTGGTCACTTTTATTTCCCCTTTCTAGAAAAGAAACAAGAATAATGTCATAGCAAACCTTGTGCACGCTTGAGCGGTACGAGAGGAGAGAAAAATATACATACACAGAGCTACATAGTAAAAGCAACGTATACACGCAGTTGCCTCTAGTATATACCTAAGCAGAGGTGTCCCTGACGGTAAACAAGACACTGATGTGGTCAGAGTTGCACCTTATAACTTGCAGGAGACTTTGCCAACGCGTCATGTTTTATAGATGTACAAATACATACACACACACTCTCTTCTCCCTCTTCCTCTGTCCCCAAATTTCAGCTGAAGAGAGATCATTAGAGACAGATTTATTAACCAACTACAATTTACAGCTAGCTCTGAACTGCATTAATGAAAGAGGAAGCTCAAACCACAACAGAGAACTTGGACCCCTCAACTGCAGAATTTGTATTTTCCTACTCCATCACAGCCCTTGAAGAAAATACTGCCAGGTAATGCATGGCCAGGCATCCACTTTTACTGGCATTCCACTTCTTGGTTAAGACAGCATCCTCATGGGTAGCAACTGATCTTAAATACAGAAGAGGAATGATGATGGACTCCGCTGTATGAGTCCTTCCTCCAAAAAGCCACAGGAGGCACAACAAGTGCAGGACCTGACCAAGTCCACCTCTTCTTGTGATGGATATCTTTCCCTAAAGGAAGTCATCAAAGATAAATTGTTGCTTTCTGCCCTATCACAGTCAACTGATATTTTGCGTCTCACTGACAAGCATGCTAATAGATTGATTTCTGATAGCAAATACAGCTATCAAGTAGAATATATCAAATCATCTGCTAATATTAAAATAGTCCCAGATATAACATGAGAATGGTCTGCACTGTAACAAGTCAACACTGTTTTGGGGATCAAATACCTTCTCATTTCCTACAGTACTGCAGTAGCACACCAGATTATACTTCCCATGTTTTTTAGGGTAAAACTCGCCTGCTGCCAGCTCCCTCAAAAATAATTAAATGGGCTTTGCTACTTTCGATGAGGGAAAGTGAAAGAATGCCTGACTTTTTTTTTCTTTTTCTAATCAATACGTAAAAGCTAGAGACTGCTACCGGGAGTGTATTCTCCATCACAGAAAAGCTGTAACTTCGTAAAGACCTTAACTATTATTCTGAATGCCATCAACAGCCTGGAGAAAAGGAGGCTGAGGGGAGACCTCATCGCTCTCTACAACTCCCTGAAAGGAGGTTGTAGCGAGGTGGGGTCGGTCTCTTCTCCCAAGTAACAAGCGATAGGACGAGAGGAAACGGCCTCAAGTTGCGCCAGGGGAGGTTTAGATTGGACGTGAGGAAAAATGTCTTTACTGCAAGAGTGGTGAAACATTGGAACAGGCTGCCCAGGGAAGGGGTTGAGTCCCCATCCCTGGACGTATTTAAAAGACGTGTAGATGCGGCGCTTAGGGACATGGTTTAGTGGGCATGGGGGTGTTGGGTCGATGGTTGGACTCGATGATCTTAGAGGTCTTTTCCAACCTCAATGATTCTATGATTCTACTGCTGTGTGCAACCGGACTGTGCAGAGAGACCTCATGCACACCAGAGTTAAGCCTTAACCACAACTATCTACTCCCTCCCTCAGTATTCAGAAACAGCCAAACCTTAATATTAACATACAAGGAAACAAACAAATTTTCTCATATTTTCCTCCTAATTACAATTGAAAGTTAAAATCAAGTTTTGATTCAAGATTAAAGCTATCCTGAAAACTTTTGCTAGATAGGCTTTTAAGCTGTTCTCATCCATAATGGTCAACGGTTTTAGTATGCCTTTTTTTACCCACTTCTTATCTTCACACAAGCGAAAGCTATTAATGGCAAGTGCTCAGTAAATGTATTGCTGATAGCTTTAAGTGCCAATGATGTATTTCAAGCTGTGCAAATAATTAAAAAAAAAAAAGCCACCTGCACTCCAGGCAGCGTTCACAGCTAGAACAACATGAACAAAAGAGACCCATGGCGTGGTTATATATTTTCCTTAAAATTCTAATATACTAAAAATATATAAAAAAATAAAGACACAGTCTCCCTTTTTTTTCTTTCTCCTGTGACTCCAAGATGATGTTACAGTTTGCTGAGGGATTTTACAAAAATCACTGAAGAAAAGGAGGGCTGAAAAGCCTGTACTGAGCCCTTAAAATCAAAGGGAAACTTGGTTCCAATTTCATGGAGAATGCCCACAAACACTGTCTGCAGAGGGAACAGCAGCAGATAGCTGACATGATAGGACAAGATCTGTTTTTATGCAGTAGTAGTGTTTTGAACTTTGGGACATTTTCCAGTTCGAGGTGCTCAAGAAATACAGACACCCCCACCCATTTTGGCTTAGTTTTCCGTTTACACCCAGAGAATGGAGTCAAACCAAATGCCCACACCTTATCATCCAGCTGTCTGTAGAGACTGGCAATCTCCTCATCGTATTTCTGCTTCTCCTCTGTCGAGATGCTGGCAACAACCGGTGTGATGTTGTCAATAATCGGGGTGTTATCACAGGGCTCCAGGTTCTTCTGGTCCTTCGCACTGATCTGTTCATCTTCAGGCACAGCTTCTCCTGCAGGCACATAATCCGTGGTCATTACAATCCAAGAGAGAGGGTGGCCCAAAACCGTGGACACCCTAGGATGGTCCTTCAACAGTTGCCAAGAGGGACTCGGCAAAGGAAAGAAGGGCCGTATCCAGCTATGCAAGGCAGGCAACTGCCGTGCATACAAATGACAGGCCAAGGTAGGTGTTGGAAGGATGGCCGTTCATTCTCCATGGTTAGACACACAAACACGCAAAATGCAGCAACAGTTTGAATGGCTGCCATTCAAAGCACTGAACTCCCGGCTCCGCTCAAGCCCTCTACAGATGGGATTAGCTCCATGGATTAACAGAAGTGTAAATAAGGAGGAAAAAGATCTGACTTTCAGCCTAAAGCCTAATGGCATCTAAATGGCTCTTCCTCTCCAGATTTCCGACTGCCTTATCAACCCTCCCTCCCCCATAATGAACTGCTAGAGCATCAGGACAACAAGTAAGACAGCTGCAGTTAAAACGATATTCACCTTCTGCCTTGTCGCATCTAAAATTCAGGAGCATAGACCAATTTTCAGATGTCGCCTATGCATACCAGATAGGATGTTCTCCCTACGCATTTTCTTTCAAAATCATTTTCTCCGAGGAGTATTTTCTTCGGTAACGTCAGTGCATTGCAATTGCGAGCCTGCTGCAGTTTAGTGAAGAGGGACAGGCGAGGCACTCATGCCAGAAATTGAATCTACTCTCATTAGAGTCTGGTGAGAGACTCTGCGAGCCGCTGAATGCTGCATGCGTTGCTCAAGGTGCAGGAAGGTTGCATCCAACCCTTCTGCACAAACAGGTTTTTTCCATTTCTGTGAAAAGCTACAATATTTCAGTCCCATAAAGCTTTACTAGCCATTCCTCTTGCCAGAACAGTGTAGGCGCTATTTATCTTACTGGCAGGGAAACAAGTAAACAGGAGCAATATATCAAAAAACAAAAACACAGGCTAATTCAAGCCCCCAAACAAAACAGGGCATGAAAGAGCACGACCAACTAACAGAGAAGATAATCTTTTCAAGCTTAAAGAATGAAAAAGAATAACCTGAAATCAAGCACCATAACCTCTATAAAAGCACTACACTCAAAATACTTTTTGCCCTATTGCTAATGGCTTGATGATATTTTATATTATTAATGAGAAAAAATGTAAATTGATTTTTCATTGTTTCATTTCACTGGAGCAGACGAGGAAAAGTGGGCTCGGTCAGACTGTGGGACCTTGCACACGTGGCAACGCTCCTCAGGCTGCGGAGAATCCATCAGGAGCCTCCCAAAATAAACCTTTAGATTTTCATTTCATTGTGGTGTTTCACTTAACCCGGAAGCTTTGTATGGCAGACTACCACAGCTGAAAGGAGGAGGGGAGCCCAATTTTGGTAGAGATCCTTGGACAAGAACAACCTTCTACCTGCAAAACACAGACCAAATTGTGCACTCGGATACAGGGCTGCTGAAATCCTGCTTCAGTGAGAACTGGGCACACCCATTTTCTGCTATAATTTTTTGTACAATATTTTCTAAATTTATAGAATAAGCTATACCAATGGAAAATTTATGCATCTATCTTATATTTCATATTCAAGATGTAATTTCTGCGACATCTTCATTTGTCAAGAGCCTCCTTTGACAGAATATCCTTCCAAACGATGCCATTGCAGAAGGCCAGACAAGAAATCAATAGTATTTTGAATGCATTGAATGTATTGCTGGGTAACGCCAATGAGAAAAGCAGGACAGACGGCGGGGACGAGGAGGTGTGTGTATTTAGACAAAACAATAGAGACAGCGTGTTATAAGGCTTGTTTACGTGGCATATAGAAAGGATCTACACAGGTTTTCCTAAAAAAATATTTCTAGAATGGGAAGGAAATTGAAGTCGTCACATTTAGCAAACACAGAATGAAACACGCAGAACACGAGCGGGTTATAAATCCCCAGCACTCCTCAACACCACCAGCAGACCGACCGTCTCCATAGCAATTGCGCTATGCTGATAAGGGAAATATTCCCTGTGCTGAAGCCTCCAGAGGAAGACACGGAGCGCAATCATTAGGTAACGATCTCATCTGAAAGGCAAGTAAACAGCACAGGGAGCTGAAAGCAGGAAGCAATTTTTTGCACCCATAAAGGTCAGGTATTATCTTTTAAGTAGTGATTTCACCCAGGACGTTCAAAACCAGACTTGACTGTGCAAAACAAATTGTGACTAATAATTAAATCACAGATTTGTTCTCGCTTTAGATACTTCACGTTTGCAAGAGCTACATACTATTGAACTGCGAGACACATCAACATGTAGGACCTGGATGACAAGCAATTTAGAAAATAAAAATGACTCCAAAGCAGCGGGATTTTACTGTTGGGGGTTTGATGGGATTTCAGGGTGCAAGGGGGATGCAGGGTTGGTTTCTTTGGGTTGGGGGCTTGTTTGTTAGAGTTTGGGGGTTGATTTTTTTTTTTTTTTAATTTGTGGAATAAAAATATTAAAAGTAAGGATGGTTAGCTAAAATTATTTGTCAACGTTCCAGATTAAATAAAAATTCTTTAATTTGTGTGTGTGCATAAAAATATTCTTCCTCCTCTACCATCCTACACTTGATCTTACAACCTACCCCGAACAGCAATTCCCTATGCTTCTAAACAGAAAATTGGCTGTTCTCAACATAAATTTCACTTAGAAGCCACAGAAGGAGACAAGTGGTGATTCTTCTAATCAGATGACACTCTTAATCATTGTACTAAAGGACTAATTATTCTAATGTTAAACTCAATTATAAAAAAAAACCCCAAGATCTAGCTACCTTAAAGCATAACAGAACCGATTCTCGTGCCTGAGGAGCAGAGTTCTTTTAAAAACAAACAAACATAATGACATTTTACCTTTTCTTTATTACTATCACTAACATTATTAAAAATTATTGATGCCTTCCTGTATACTCTACATCTGATATCACGCTAGTTTTGGCATTTAAAATGGAGCCTTCTGTAAATGGCTGCTGCTGGTTTCCCTGGTTTTTGCTTCTTCACCTCTCAGTTATTATTATGAAGCGTGAGCTACAACTCTGAACGGTGAGCTTAGAATTAGTAGGACTCTTGTGATTTAAGGCAAGATTTAAACATACGTAACTTAAAAATACAGAGACATGTACCCATTCCCAATTTCTGGTACGTACCGTTTCTCCACCTGTTCAGTTCCAGCTCTAGATGCTGGATAACATTCTTTAGGCTCTTGTTTTTGTCTTTCTCCTTCTCGTACTTTTTCTTCCACTCCTCCGCGGTCAGCTCCAGATTCACAGAGACCGTGTTCTTAATTGTCTTAGCTCTGCACAACAAAACCAAGCGTCAGTTGCTCTGCAACTTTTATCTCAATACAACAGTGAGGATTCAGAAATTTTTCCGTAACACAAAGGGAAACTACTAAACATTTGCAATTTATCTTCTAAACTGCAAGGCCAGTGACCTGGAGCAGACATGGATCTGCCTCTTCAGATTCCTCCAAAAAGAGAAGCTCTGGAAACCGTTCTTGGATTAAGGACAAAACCAAGTCCTGTCATTAGTGCTCTGCTAGGGAAGCTGTCACCTCGCAGCTTCTCCTGGCCTGGGACCCACCGTAGAGTACCCCACACCAGCGTCTGACCACGGGCTCGCCCCATCTCTTAACAACCATCCCTTAAATTCCACCAGCAAAACTCAGCCGTATTTCAAGCATCACAGCACGAAGGGTGTCAACACAGTGATGCAGAGATACGGAAACTTATCCTTCTTGAAAGCCAAACAGCGCTTTCAAATACATTTTTGGGGGTGGAAGGAAGGGAAGGAGGAGAACAGCTGGTCACCACCAGGTAACTGGGTTACTGCTGGGCTGAGGAAGGCTCTCAGTGGGAAGGGAGCCTGAACTCGTGCCTGTGCCACTGTAGGCAGGCTCACGAGTTACTGCCTCTCTAGGCAAAAATATCACAAAATTTAAACCCTTCTAACAACAACCACCACCACTTTACTATTGTGAAACTGCTTAGCTCCAACTGAACCTAAACAATTGCACTAGAAAATGCAAAGCAAGCAGAACCCCCCCCACACACACACAGCACCTACTCTAGCAAATCCACAGTTAAAAAGAAAAACCAAACAAATTAGTAGGAATTAAGAAAGCTTCGGATCTTTGCCCTTCACTGCTCAGGCGCCGAGTCCCTCCAAATAACGCCAGCGGTATCAGATAAAATAGAGACTAAGTAAAGGAGTAACAGACAAACCTCTTACCAGTTTGTAAAGCGTAGGCTGAAATGCCAATACAAGAAACTACGCCTAGGAATCAGCTACAGATGCACTGGCTAACTCTTCTTTGGGGAGGGCACATGATCTTCATTATTTTCTTCACAGCTCCCACTTAATGATGCTAAAGCACCCTTTAAATGTGGCCAATCACTAAAAATCCTGAAACTTTGGTTTGTCAGCAAGAAAACACTCCTCTATCTGTGCCTCAGACTCCAAACTGTGCTCCAGTGATTTGCACTATGTGGAAAGCAGGAGTTTTATTACCTCAGAAATGTTTAAAATAACCCTGCACTTTTAAAATACGCAGACGCCTAGCGGTTAGCTTTTACATATTGTCTCTGCCAAAAGCATGGCTCAAGTTTCCACTCATTTAACTGTACCGGGGAAAAAAAATGCCACACCATAAAGTTTATCAACTGCGTTATCCTAATGATGGATGAAGTACTTACTAGCAACTAAAATTAAAAACAATATAAAAACACACAAAAAGATGGAGCAGAAGGAGAAGAAACCGACTCGTTACTAACAGAGGAGCACATGCACGTGTTGATTAGGATAAGTGGGCCTGTGAAGATGAATTTTACTCCTGATGCTTATTTTAATGGTGATACAATTCTTTTTTGCTAGGAAAAAAATGGAGAAACCAGTAATCACCCATGACTCATATACCTTCCCTTTAGCGTTATTCAGACCCTTAATACTGTCACATCAGAAAAATGGAACACCACAACCAAAGAGCCTGTAAAAGAAACCACTTCCCGTGGACAGCAACATTCCTATCCAAAATGCTGACAAATAGCACCGTGTATGTCTAGTATGCGTGCTGCTCTGCAGGTCTAGTGCATCACCAGTCCTCCTGCTTGTATTCCCTTTCTTATTTCAGCCCAATTCTATAGCTTTTAAGCAAACAAACAAAACCCCTACAATAAACCCCAACCAAGCACTCTCACAAAGCATGTAGCTAGTTTCCCAGCTCCTTCAGCTGACATCCTAGTCCTCAGTAAGGAACATCTAAAAAAATGTTCCTCTTCCTAGAGAAGTGTTAGTCATGTCGCATCACTCCAAGCTCTGCTAGCCAGGATGTGCAGAGCTGGTTTGAAAATTATTTTGCCCCGAAACAGAAAGGCAAGTTTTACCGATCACTGAAAAGAGAAACGAAACCAAGAGAAACGTAAACTGAAATAACATGGAAACTGGACTTCCTCTACCCACACTTCCTTAAGTACCCAAGCACACAACTTCGCAGAGATCCTGGAGCACTGTTACGCATTACAGAGCAAAAGCAAACCCCTTTTAATCTAGATTAAAAAAACAAAGTAATTTTTAAAAAGCTACACTACCTTGTAATCCCCTCAATCCAAACTATTATATTTTACCGTTCACATTTCTTTTTACTTCAAATCATACCTGCGGACAGAGAGTTCAGCGTAACAGGAGGCAGACTGAAACCTAACACAGTACCTACTCATCTATTTAAAATGAAATGTCCCTTCTGCTGCTTTACTGCCCTGGAGCCTTATCCAGCATGAATTAGCAGGAACTTTGGGACTGCTCTTCTGTTCTACAGAGGTGCAAGACTCACGCTCGTCTGAAATCACCTGCAGTCAGAAAATTGTACGTGGGGAGGTTTAAACTGTGAACTATCAAAACATTTAAACTTTTACCATCAACAAGAACTGTGCAACTCATTGTACTTCAGAGTTGTTAACACTCTGTATTTAATTACTGCATCTTCGTATTTGCATTTACTCAAAATTTCTGTGACATTGTAATATACGGGATTTCACTAGAAGCTTGTATCTTCAATAACTTAAACTTACGTTCATCATACAACGGTGAATTAAAACCGCACAGCAACCCTTAACCCGATTATATGTTAACGACCACCTTCTCCTTTTACAGTCCTTTTCCATACAAACTTACTGCAGCGGCCTGTGAACTCCCTTTGGGGAGTTTTTCCTGCATGCTGTTATTTAAGTGAGTAGCTTATAGGAAGGACACGCTATAGGAAGCGGAGATCAGAGGAATTGGTGCTTTTTGCAGCTACCTGGCTTGCGGCACGTGGGTCCCTCTCCACCTTCCACAAATCCCAGCAGCAGATGGCAAGTTAATACTGGTTCTGGCAATGCCGGACGGGGAGCATGTTGCAGAACTGTCCTGCAGCCCTAACCTGCAGCAGCAGCCCTAATCCGCAATCGTCCCTTAAGAGGACTGCGCCCGACTGCATCTGTTTGTCCTTCACCGCCCATCCTCCACTTCTACGTACTCTTATATGAATACACTAAAGGGATCATCTTCCCCCGCTAAAACCTAAGGAAAGCTCACATTAAAGGATAAAAGCGGGGCAATGAATTAATAGAAGATTGTCAGATTAATCTTTTATACATGATTTTACTTTCTAATATAAAATGCTCCTTAACAGTGTGGGCTTCGATGCAAAAATTATGCATGGTGGAAAACAACCCACGTTCAGACAAAACCACATTTATTATATTGTACAAACTGTTAAATAAATTATATTTCCAGCAATCATAACTTGCTAGTATTTTTTCTTTCTGCTATTACACAAATAAATATACACGAAACAAAGTGAGCCATTTTCCAAAGGATCAGAGTTCTCCTCAATTGCAACAAAGGCAGTAATTATGTAATGAGCCTGACCTATTTTTGCAAACTTTCCAAATGTGTTTCATATGACTATTGGCAACGAACACATATGGAAAAGAAATTTTCTCTCTGAACACTTCCACATTTATTTTATCCTTGCTTGTTTCTGAGGACTTGTTCCTAAATTGTTAAGATCCTTCAATCGTATGAAAATGTCTGTGAGCTGTCATGGCAATCTACCGAAGCTGTGAATGTTACACTGCGTCCACGCTCTTCATTTTTCTTAACCGTTAAAAAATATTTTTTGCAACCCTAACAATAATCCCTGAGATGCCATTCAAGGAGAAGACACATCTTAAAAGCATCAAGAGCAGTACCAGATAAAGCAAAACCGACGATTTTCCACTGAGCTAGCCAACAGAAAACTGCCCAATACCATTATCTTCCCCATAAAATTTCAAAGATCTACTGTAACGCTTTGTACTTCCTGCAGGAAAAAATTACCAGAGCTTCTAAGTAGTGCAGCTGCTGGCCGACATTAACATTTTTCTGGTACCATAGGAAATAAAGAGACAGTTTTCTCAAGTTCTCCAGTACTATTTTTGCACAACTCCAGAAACCATAACCTCCCTATTTTAAAATGCCTACTCATCTCGCTCCCCTCAGCACGGCTGGCTCAGAACATGTGGAAGAGCCCGAGTGTCATCCAGCCTAACGCCGAGTAGGACTCACCGCTGCCCGAACATCAGGGTCGACTTTGTTTCTGCTTCATTGAACACAGAAGGAGAACAGCATATCACGATGGTGGTTCTGCAGTTCCCACCCAAGGAATCCTGAAGTATTCGGGTCATTTTGCTGTCTCGGTATGGAACGTGGGTTTTCTAATCAAAATAATAAGTAAGAGACAAGAACAATTTTTTTAAATAATGATATCGTAATGAGAGAGAACATGAGCCGACAATGACAGGTTTAATGGATTTGAAGCATACAATCCTGAAGAGTAATTGTTTTGATTGTGCTAAGATTGGATAGCCACTCAAGTGAAATCACTCAGAATTAGTTTCTTATCTTTAGTAGAATAGCAAAAGTGTCACTGGTTTGTGGTTGGAAAGCTCGTATTTTCTTTCTGAATTGAAATGTTAGCTTATTTTTTTATGTGCATGGCAAAGAAATGGGTAAATAGAAAGCCATTCTTCTACAACACAAAACAGGATTACTTACAGTTCCTTCTGCCAAGGCAGATATCACATTGCCTAAAGCAGACAAAGACTTATTGATATTTTTAGCTTCATCAAGAACAGCGCCCTCCGCTCCAGTTTTGCTGACCTACCAAAGAGAGCAGGCAACAGTCAGGCTCAGCTATCAGCAAGCGTCTGTACAAATACAGCTACAATGCAGACAGTGCAACAGTTAAAGATGCTCTTGGAAGAAAAACAAAGCAAGCTTATCCTCAGCATGAAGGAGGGGAATTTTATGTGCACTTTTTTGTTAGTGGAAGCCTGTAATACTTCTGCCTTTCTTCCACTGTACGAGCAAGCTCACTTTTACTTTGTTAAGGGAAAAGCTGGTAAGTCCGTGCTCTCCTGAGGACACTTGGGGACCACTTCCAAGACCAGACTGTCCACACAGATAGGGAAGACCACAGGTACATTCTCAAGGCACACGCAGTGGCACAGCATATGCCACCAAACGAGTACCTTGGCTTTGTATTTTGCTTGCACAGACCAAGAATATCGGGGCAGAAAAGGCACAATCTCACTCATGCAAGGCTCGCTGGCCCACAGGCTGGATCCCAAAGTGGCCCAGTCAAGAAGCTTGGTGGCCTGGGACCAGCACTCCTTTAGACAGTGACACAGTTTTATAGTCTTTTCT